CATGATTTCAAAAACTGGACACTAGAGGGGACTAAAGATTTTAGGTAGAGGAAAGATATATGGTTATGACAATAAAAATACTGAAGGAGACTTCTGAAGAATGGAATCAGAAAATAGTAGCCACAATATCAACGTCAGTAATGATGTCTGCTTCTATGGACAGACTATGTCCAAAAGATATTGAAGTTATTGAAGAAATGTCAGATGTAGAACAAATATTGTCATAGGATTTGATTTGTCTTCATTTCTTCTTTGTCCCATCACACAGAGTTCTTCAAGGCTTTAACAAGCCTCCTTTGTAAATCCAGTAGGAAAACATTATCTAAGTCATTCTCTTGGTTTGTCATTTGTATTTCCTTTTTAAATTTTAAAACCTCAGACAGTTTCTTTTGTAGATCCAGTGAAACGTCCTTTTCTAAATCACCATGTGTTTCCTACTGGATTTACAAAAAGGCTTGTTGAAGAACTCTGTGCAGTGGGACAAAGAAGAAATGAAGACAAACCAAATCCTATGACAATATTTGAACAAACTAAAGATTAAGAATGTTAGAAGTAAAAGGAAGGAATACAGGTAGTCCTCAACTTACGACCACAATTGGGCCTGGAATTTCTGTCACTAAGCAATGCAATTGTATAGTGAAATGTCACATGACCGCATTGCTTAGTGATCGCAATCCCGGCAGTCCCAGTTGCCATCGTTAACTGAGAATCATGGGTCATTAAGCAAGTACCCATCCCAATCCAAGCCATTCTGGGCTTGATCCCTCCCACCCCCAAGCCTCAGTAAGGTAAGGGGCTGCCTCCAACTCCCCCCACCCAGCTATTTCCCTCCCATCTCTGCCTTTCTGGCCACCCTGCAACCTGCCATGCAGGGCGGCAAGCAACCCCAAACCAAGCGGCTCTGGTGCTGCTTGCCATGGCCGGGAAGCCGCAGCCGCCCCAACCCAGTGCTATGGCAGAGACTGTAATGCAGCGTCTAGAAACTATAGCACTTCCATGCATACAACCAAAAGTATGGATCCAGTATGTAGATGACACCTTCGTCATAATAAAAAAGGCACATGAACTAGAGAAGGCACATGAAACAATCAACAACATCTTCAAAGAAAATTCACCAGAGAGGAAGAAAACAACAACATGCTACCCTTACTGGATATCCACATCAGCAGAGGAAATGACAGCAAATTAGAAACCCA